AGGTATTGGGAAATCCGCCGAAAATTGTGCTTTTGGGTCGGTTTGTTAGTTTCATAGAAATGGATAAGTAGCACACGGACACATGTGACTGGCTAAATATAGTGGTTCGCTATTTAATATCCTACCACAAAGTAGCAATCCTCTCCTCCCTCTAGCGCAAGCCGCCGCACTGACAGGATACCATACGGCAAGTATAACTTTGTCAAGGGATCGAAATCTGTACTCATACGCCAGAAGCTACAGTCTCACCCTTCACAGCTGTAAGCCATGAATTCCACAGGTGCTGCGACTCTGTGTAGTCTACGATGTGTCTTTTTCGACTTGAGCTGCATAAGTTTGGTCCAATCCTCCATTGATGGTACAGCCACCAACCATTCGCTCTCATTTTCGACTACTCGGCCCTTTGCCCAAGAGCCAGTACGCCCCCATTTTGCGCAGAATGTCTACAAAGGGGGATCCATCATACGCAGCTTTGTATATGGTCGCCTTGATATTAGGGCTTGCAATCAGCATAAATAGATATGTTAGAGCCTCCACGTCAGCCGCGCCACTATCGCCAAGACGTGGCGATACCCGTACCGATCAGGAGGAGCATCGTGGCGATGATTCACTCTAGCGAAACGTGAGGGTACATAGCTGGTAAAGAAACTCCATCAGGAAGGCAGAATGCTCACCCGGCACTGTTGTCGGATGTGTAAGTTGCGGTGACCGTCTCATAGCTGGGACTTGGGCAGGATGTGGCACCGCCGACGTCAATCGTTGGTATGCTGTCGTGTGCTACGCTCGGATGCTTGCCCAGCGCGAAGGAACGTCGGTCTTGGCGATTTTCCTGTACCCAGTGGGCCATTGTCGTTTGACGACGGAGTCGTCAATCTCGGAGATTTTCGTGATGGAGAATGGTCTTGGTATGGAGATGGACGACTGTGAGAGTGCATGATATTAGCAAGCTAGAATGGAGCACGCGCATTGCCCTTCGAGGAATGCAGAAGGTTCAGAAGTAGCTCGAAAGACTGCCTATTAGGATAGTCAATGTAATAGGTCAATGTTTGGTTGTCGATTGGCCATGGTCTATTGAAACAGCCGCGATCCGCAAATTGGAGAAGAACTCACAATCAGGGCTTGACAATAGCTTCGACACATGATACTATTATGGTACTAATCAATAATCCTCCAAAGGCAGCTAATAATTAGAAAGTAGTAACATATTACTGGCCGCTGAGGAGCTGCTATCGTAGTAGTATTAGTTGTCTTCGCTCGCCAAACTACTATCTATTGTAGTAGTTCAGTAGTAGCTCGGTAGGACAGCAGAATCACGCCATCTTGCTACAAATCATAACGATTTTTTTGTCGTGAGTATTTTCAATGATAACAGTGAAGTTCACCCGTGAAATTGGTCACACGCTGGAACGGTTCGACGCATAGGACCGTTCTAGAGGCTTGTACGCAAGTACCAGTCGTTTTGGCTGCCCAAATGAGGGGTCACTCTGTCTTTTATCAGTACTCCAATACGTCGTAGTCGAGCATTTGGAGATTGTCTGCATTTGATGCATGTGTTTCCTTTCGTTTTGGCCTTCGCCCGGACCATTTAGATGGTCGTCGTCTAGAATTTTAGGTGGTCGACAATATTAATAGTCCAGAAATATAGTGTTACTTCAATTTTCTCGCTAATATTACTCGAGTATTTGTTTAGTAAACGGTAATACTGGTCTGATATAGTAGTTTGGCAAAAAAACATTCTACTACTGTATCTCACAATACCACATATCCGCCAATTGTCATCCAGGTGTCGCAGTCAAATAGACACCGATTGGGCAAAATACCGCTCACGGCGAAACAGTACGCCATAATTAATATCTCTGTTTTCCTGTTTAGTGAGTTAGACAGGCATTAAGATGCTGTTTCTTCAGGCAAAGGATTTAGTACAAAGCTCTACGGTGGGGTTAGCTGTACCCGATCGACACCGCATGAGGAACGCAAGATTAACGAGAGGAAGAAGGGGGAGGGGTAACTTATTGCCTTATCACTTGGCGGAGCGTCAACACCAGTTTTTGTCAGTATGCCTAAGGACTTTAATAATTTATTGGATACGCAAAATCCGGAAAATGAACATGGACAGTGTGTGGACCGTGAGGAAGGCTTGCGGTAGGAGCAGTATGTGTGCAAACTTAGGCATAGCGCAGACTTTCCCTAGAAAATAAAAAAGGAACTTCCACCTTAAGTTGCAGATGCGTGAATAAGACTACTTTGCGTAATACGCTAATAGTTATCCAGAAACTAAAGTTTTCTATTAGCGAGCTTACTTCCTGGACTCAACAATTGTGAGTACATGTAAAGGTGAATTGAACATCCGTTTGTATTCTATCAGCCATTTATTCGGATTTTTTCCAGAATGTCGCTGCGCGTTGTTCCAACTACAAAAGTACTCTTATTAGAATTGGACCTATCTTGGCCACGAGCTCATGCCCGTAAGCTCTTGCCCTAAAATAGAAAACAGCTTACCCCCCCCAATGTTAACCAATGAGTGAAAGGAAAACACGGCTTGCGGTGAGCTAAACACATCTACTTCGTTTTTGAAACGATAAAATAGTCCGAGCAGATTTTGGTAGAGCTGGTCAATTATTTGGTGCTCAAAGAGCTCAGTAATATCGCACAGCTTCGGTTTTATTTCAATGCACGACCACCCCTTGAACCACCGAGCCAATACAACAGTACACTTTACTCCAGCGTGCCATGCTGTGTATGTGCTCATTACGGAGTGACTGGAGAACAGTGCCGCTGTGAGAACGACGGCTGTTGGTTGCAAAAAACTTCATTTTTTTATTTAGAAAACGTGATACCACGAAACAGAGATATAACGACGCTAATATGTACAACAGCACTAATTTTATTTTAATACATGTAAGTATCTAAAGTCAAAATCTACATAGAGCTAAAACACATTATGCAAGCATCCTAGATCGGTGGTGCGTTCTGCATAAACACAGCCGAGGCTGGTTGTGATTCCTTCATGCTTCTGTCCATTCACGTAGATGCGCATCTGCTCAAAGCCTTTCTCGTCCATTTTGATCTTGCTTGCATTTTTTTCAGCACTCGTTTCGTTCTTGTGACGCTGCGTTTCGACCATATCTTCCAGCAGCTGCAAATTCCATCGTTGGGTTAGTAAAACCTCACATGAAGAAGTAAAAAGCAACGTCTAAGCTTACCTCGAGTTTTGTCCGGCGCTTTAGAACACGGCGTAAGTTCCTCCTGTCTTGAATCTGCAGTCCCATCATCTGGCGCAGCTTCAGATTTTCCTCCTCGGACTGCTGGCGTTGCTCTAGTTGTCGTTTGGCAACTTGCTTCCAAAGCTGGGAACGTTTTGGTCGAAAAAGATCTCGCAGTTCTCGTTGAGCAGCTAACTTGTTTTGACGTGCAGCCTCAACCTTCAGCTCTTGTAAATGAGCAGCCAACTCGTTGATCTTGCCATGCAAGGCGTCAATTTTCTGCTTGGGGGTGAGTCTTTTGCCGCGCTTTGCCTTATCCAGCTGTTGGTCATGAGTACGTTTTGTTGCTGTGTTGGCCATCTCAATCGAGACAGAAGGTGAAATTCGAGCACATGTGTCTTCACTGTCGTTCGGTAATTCTGGCAGCCAGAGGTCGTCGGTGGCGCAGATATCGAGAATGTTTGGTGTTTCCTGGTCCGAGTCGACCATCGGAAAGTCTTCATCTGCGTTAACTTCTGGGATTTCGAGGGAGTGAGCTCGAGTGAAGGAGGACGCTTTACTCTTGGTGGTGGATGCTGGCACAATTGAGGCACTGAAGAAGATTGTAGCTTCTCTTGAAGACGCTAAGCCACTTGGATGTTGGCATTGAGAGGGAAAGCCGAATTGGCCGTTTGCAAGGATCGTTTCGGCTGCCATGGCGCAAAAGTAGTTTTGACAGTAATGGCAGGAATGTTATGGCGGTGGATTTTTTTCGAAAGGACGTCGCGGTGTCGCCGCCAGCTCGCAAATCTTGATCGCAACGTATTAATCTGCCAATGAGTTGTCATTTTGGCGACCCCCTTTTGTCCAGGGAAAAAGCTGGGCCGGGTACCAATGCATGTACCTGGGGGTATTAAAGCGATGAAAACCACAAACCGCTCGTCTTTTATCCCTTGTCGAAAAAAAAATTCTAACTTTGGAGCTGGTGTTGGTACTGCAGCCTTTAGCACATGAATGTATTAATACCGCATTGCGGTAGCTCTGGAGATACATGTACCGCATTGCGCCGGTACCCCGCCCAATTATGTCAGTTCAGTCGCTCTTGTTTCTTGCAATTGAGAGACGCTTCACGTCAAATCGATTACGACGCGGCCTTAGCCTTATTGATGTTCACAAATATCCAGCGAGTCTGCCGATCGTGCAATTGTCGTCGGTATTTATCGTTTTATTAATAATAATTACAGTCTTTTGTAGGTGGTGCATATTTTGTTGTGACATCCATTCATCATCTTCATTGTAGATGTAGAGATTATTTTACTCTCATTTTGAACAACTCCAGTGGTGTTGGTCCAAGAACACTAAAGCCAACTCCAACCTTCATGAACGGATCTTGGAAAGCCGCCGATGAGTCATTCTCACGAAACAAACAACCAGCTGATGCTTTGTGCGACATTTATGGTTTGGGACAGCATGTGGTCGTGAACACGCTGGCCAAGATGCTTACTACCACCGCCAAGCCGTGTTTCCACCAATCGAAAGGCGATCGCTGTTTACATCGCAGACTCATCCAAGAGTTTATGTCAAATATCCATGTGGATAACGGAACACGAAGGTAAGGCTCTCCCGCGGCGCTTGTCCCGCTAAGCTACATGTAATAAAGGGTTTACAGTACATGTACGTCGCCTCTCGATTACTTTGCTCGCTCCAGATTAACTCATTCCTCAGTTGACCACCGACTGCACGCCCCCCCCCCCAACTGCAAGCAACGCCAAAACTCCCTCAAGAAACAGAAACAAAAAAACCGATCGAGTCCTTCAAATGACTCTCCAAGACAAGCTGATGCAGCCCTCTAGTAAGAGTTTGGAAAAGCGACGCACGTCTTGGACGTACATCCGCTCCTTGCTATGGAAAAACTGGCTCATCAAGAACCGCCAGCCTGCTGCCACCGCGTGTAAAGTTCTCGTGCCCACCTTCTTCATCCTATTGCTCGGAATACTAAAACTCCTCACAACGACAGTTGACGTGCCGGCCGGCTGGAGTGACGACGCCGACAATACCGCCGGCACCAGGTACAACCTGTTCCAACCGACTGGGCGGAGCTTCGAGTGGGTCGACACTGACTTGCCCAAGTTCGCGCTGCACGAGTCCACGATGACCGGTCTCATGTTAAAACTTGCTAGTCAGTCTATCAACGACGGTCTGCGATTAGAAGATCTGTCTGCTTCGGACCTGGCTGCTTGTCGGATAGGAGTGCTGGCTGGAGGTTTGGTCGACACGACCGCGTCGTCGCCTTTCAGCGTCCCGACTGAGTGCGCTGGTAAGGTCGTGCCGTACAAGATTGGCGTGGCACCGGACAATGCGCTCACTCGCAACTACTTCGCGGAGGCCATGGACATGTGGTACCCTCGATTGGATCTGATGAATTCGACGACCGAGACGCTGACGATCCCTTCGTTCAAGGAAAGCATCCAGTTCTTTGACACCAACGACGCGCTGACGGACTACGTGAAGAGTGATACGTACGGGGACAACCTCGACAACCCTAAAATTTATGCTGCAATTGTGTTCGATTCGGCTCCATCAGAAGACGATATCGGCTCGTTCGGGTCCATTGAGTACTCGCTGCGTCTAAACTCTACGAAGGGCGAAGATCTGACGGGCCGTGTGCCGACCACGGATGGATCTCTTGTGGATGTCGAGTCGTTCCAGAAGGATATCATTACGGACTACTACACGGCGTACACTGTGACAGGTTTCATGACGCTGCAGACGCTCGTCACCCGTTTTGTGGCGTGTATGCCGGAATGGAACTCTGCCAACCAGTCGACGACGGGCATCTGCCAACGCTCACGGACTACTGCAGTCGCGTCAACGGAGCTGGACAACACTCTTCTCGATATCCTGAGACAAGATGGCTTGATCCAGGAATCGCTCGGTGGTCTAGGCACAAATATGTCGGACGTATTGGCCGGTTTGACGGACAACGCAAAAGAAGCTCTACTTATGCCTCTGCGCCAGGCCCTCAGTCTATGCTGGGACCTACGGTCGCGCCGTTCCCCGTCGACAACTACACCAGCTCTCCATTCTACTCGAACGTGGCCAGTGTCTTTACGATTGTCTTTATTATGGCCTATCTGTTCACGATTTCGCGTATTCTGGTGGTGCTTATCCAAGAGAAGGAACTGCGTCTACGAGAGTTCATGAAGATCCTTGGAGTGACTGAGAAGACGATCATTTTGACGTGGTACATGACGTACGCAGCGATTCTCTTTATCGGTGCTGTTGTCCAAGCCATTGCCGGTCTGGCGGGATTGTTTCCAAACAGCTCATTGATCGTCACCTTCCTCTTCTTCTTCCTGTTTGGACTGAGTGTGCTGGCATTGGCCTTCCTCATCAGTACTTTGTTCAGCAAAGCTCGTGTTGGTGCGTTTGTGGGCATGGTGAACGAAGTTAACGTAAAGATTTGGTGGTTGCCGTTCCCGTCAAAAAGTTCCCGTTCGCGTTTTTTCTTACGTAAAGAGAACGTCATTCATTATGATAGGTCTTTCGTTAATCAATGCTATTTCACAGGTACACTTTATTTGGACGAAGCAGCAGAAGAACCTGCATCACTCAGACAGCAGCGAGTACAATGGAGCATCAGTGTGTCGAGTCATGTGGTCCAAGATGACGTGTTCTGCGTCCAGCTCGTGCTGCGCTGCGGTGGCGTCTCCCCAGGCTTGCAACACGACGTCGACGGTGGTCACGACGTGCCAAGAGCTGTTTGACAGTGTCTTCACGTACCAGAACGAGTGCGACGGAGGTATTTCGTCCGCTAATACGATCCTAATTACTGCAGCGGTTATTATTGCTGATGTGCTGGCGGCTGTCGCTGTATTCTCAAGACTCAACGGATGACGCAAACAAATAAAAGGTTCAAGTGAACACACAGGTGCTGCGGCTAGCGTGGCAGCGCCGTGGAGACAAATGGCCAATTTGGTGTGAAAGAACATGATGCTAAGACGCAGGAAACCTCGTCGCTGCCGACAAAGCTCCTCCTGCCAGTTTGATTGCTCACATCTTTGCTGCTGCTGGCAAATATGGATAATTTTGCTGGTGAATAAGGGATCGCGTGGATTGTTTCGGAAGCAGCCGTGGTCGACGAGAACGAGACGTTGATTTGTTGAAATGTGGTTTTTTATCTTAGCAGCGGTTGTGGATGGGATCGACAGTGACAAAGATTCAATTCAGAATACCAAAAGTCTGCAGCTAATTAGTGGAGCGAACGTCTCTGCGTACTAGATGGCACGCGGAAGCCAATTTCAACGGCGATTTTCTCAATCTTGTCGTGTTCACCAGCAAGACGGCACAGGAAAGCATCAAGAAGGCCGCTTGGTTGCGACGGCTACCTTTACCCTCTCCACGAGCTACAGTGATGGAAGACCTTGTGGTAATTAGCGTACGAGGTTTTAATAAAGCGCAAGGAAAAAGATGATACTGCAATTTTTGTAAGAGTGTAAACGTTGTTTATTTTCTTTTTGCTTCGTTTGAGCTCTCATTCTCCGTGTTGCTGTGCAGAAAAATTAAGTCCCTTACATTAGGACAGGATAGACGGTTGCGCTGCGCAGTGATAGCATTTCCAGTCTACGAGAAGCAACGCTCGGAGGAAACCGAGGTTGCTACTATCCCAAAGGTTTTTCTCGCGACTGGAGCCAAATAGGGAAATGCTTCGGCATTTTCGCGCCACCATTGCAGACCGTCGTCCCGTTTCCGCCTTTTCTTGTTATTTGACGCTTCACGAGCCTTGTGCCGAGCTTTCTCGAAGTACCGATCCACCTCATCTTTTACCTGATCACGCAACGACAATTGCGTTTGCCTCTCAGGCTTTGGTATTCGCTTTCCTCCAAACAGATCATTGAGAAATTCTTCTTCTTCGTCACTATTCTCGTCGGTACTTGAAGCAAAATTGGCGTCAGAGATGCTAACACCAGCAAAGCGCATTGCTTCATTCAGCAAAAATGCATGCCCTTCCTCCTTTTCTGCAGTAGTAAATATTTCGCCATTTGCAAATTGCGGATCGAGCAGACAGCAGTACTTGACATCAACGGGAAGCATTTGAAAACGCTTTCGAAGTAGGAAAAGGAACAACCGACGAACGAGATGCATTCTCTTCAGCACTATTCCATAGTAAAGCTCCCCCCATGAGCAGAAGATACCTTAGCAAAAAATATTCCTGCTCATCAGTCTCTTTTCCAGAAGACGTATACACGGGAATGCCAGTGTTATCGTGGGATACGTATCCCCCGATAGCGTCTTTGTCACTAGTTCGAAATGCACAAGCAGTTTGTCCAAGCACTGCAAATGGAACCACATTTCACTGGTAGGTCTTGCCAATTTTGCGTCGCTAAAATCTTCTTTACCTTTCGAAGTTTGCATGTACGCAAAAAAGTCCTGAATAGCGGGTCGAAGCTGCAGCAGTCTCCGGATCATATGATGCGTAGAATTCCACCTCGTTGCCACATCCTTAATAACCGTGAGCGGGATTGCCAGGTTTTGCAGAGATTTTAGCTTGCCTTTTCCTTTTGAACTTTTGTTGAAATAGGTAACCATCTTGCGAAAGCTAGATATATCCTTTCGAGACTCACACATTGCCTGCTTCATCGCTTTCAAAATTGTCTTCGCTGCATTAGCACTCATGCATCCGTTCAAAAGCCCTTCATCTAAAGAGTCGTCAGCTACATCCAGCATTTCGACTCCCAACGCCTCTTGTCGTACAGAATTTGCCGCTACGTACGTTTCTAAGCCAACTAGTTCATTCTCTAAGAACGCAATAGCCTCCAGTTCCATAGATAAATCCTCTACCCAATGCTCTTCGCCGTCATCAACCTCGGCTAGCTCATCAACAGCTCCGCCTTCTTGCTCATCGACGTCGCCATTTGACTCGTCCATCACTTCAGCCTTAGTTTTAGCTAGAGCTCCTGACACAACTAAATGTAGAGAATGTGCCATGCAACCAAAATGATCCACGCCCAGTTCGTGACAAGCTTTTACGATATTTGCTCCATTGTCTCGAACAACTTTAGAGACACGAGAGATATCTAACCCCCAGGTGTACATGAGGTCACGAAGTTTTTTTCGAATTCGAGCTCCAGTATGCTTGCCACAAAAACTAGCAACCTCTAAAGTATAGCTTCTCAATTCAAAAAAATCCGTCATGAAATGAATTGTTAACGCGATGTAGCTGTCCGTTGTTCGTGAGGTCCACATATCCGTCGTGAGAGAGTAAAAATCAACTTCCTCAGCAATTTTTTCCTTTAACAGAGATCGCAGTTGCTGTGCATGGGCTTGCATCCGCTCCGTAATTGTTCTGCACGAAGGTAATTCGTAGATCCCATGCATAGTCTGAACTAAAGCGATAAAAAATCTTAGTTCTTCGTCTTCGACAATGCTTAAAGGGCGCAAACACTTTGCAATCCATTCAATCAGCGCTCGAGTAGCCATCTCTTCTTCAGCTGGGTTGATCTTCTTGGTTCTCTTTGTTGGAGAAAAGATCACTGCACTGGATTTACGCTTTGAAGCGAGCGCGTTCTTCACACGCTTAACGGCCGCTTCTCGGCCAACACTTCCGATTTCGTGGGGATGTTCATGGTTCATGTGCTTGCGAATACTTGCACTACTTCCGGATCTATACTTAAACGTCGTTTTGCACTTAAGACAGTAGGCTAATTCTGCTTCCGTAGTTTTCCACGCCGTTTGGCCGGGTGGCATCTCTGTGCTGGGTGCTACGAGGCGAACGAATGACCAGTATTCTTGCTTGTGAACACGTGGCATCTTGAACAGCGGAACTGGAGGTGGTGACGATGGTGGAGGTGTGTCTTCTTCCATGGTGGCTGGTTGATCAAGCAGTAGTCCCGGTCAATTTGCTGCAGGTTCTGCTGCACCGATAGTGGGTAGTCAGAGGCTCTGGTCCAAAGTCTCAACCAACAGATTTCAAATCGTACGTGACGTCTTGAAAACGTTAGCTTTACGTCTAGCTTTTTTGTGGATGTCAAGTTTACGTTTTCTTACGTCCCCATCCCTACCAAAGAGTATGGCACATCGCTCAAATGGTATTTTCCCGTTTCGCCATCGTACTGGCGGAGCTGCAAGTGACAATCGAGAGCGCGGCGGACGGTGCCGTGGGCGATATCGCGGTGGACATGATGTGACGTGGTGGTCACTAGCCAATGGCATGGCAGTGAACAGCCACGTCATTTTTTTGAGTTCAGCTGGTCAGATTATTCTGATCAGCGTAAACTTAAGATTGCGTGTCTTTACATCATACTACAATCCTATTGGTCTAAAATCCCATGGATTTGCAACAAACAAGCTTCCAGCCGGAAATTGTGATTATGGGACGCTGTGCGAAATTTCCGACCAAGATAAGAATTAGGATTCATAGGCTTTCATTGGTAGTTACAGAGAAAATCAGGATTTGAGAAAGATAGGTTTTAGGATGGACCTGGATACGTGCGTGAATATCCGGTTGTCAAGAACTACTGGTTGTGCGGCAGCTACTAGCTTGCCGCCGCCAACTATAACTGATTAATCACTTCTCAATTTGCTTTCGAGCAGCAACTCCCCTCCTCCCTACAACTGTCTACGGCGCCGTACTCGCCGTCTACGCTCCTACGCTTCCTCGCTACTTTCGTGACATAGTAGCACTTGTCGTGTCAAGCTTCGGTTCAAGTAGGGCACTCGTGGTGGCATAGCCAGAAGCGAGTTGTCCTGAGGTTATTGGTGCCAGCCACATAGTTGGGGAAGCACTAGATCACAAAGGGTATTGCCTCAGCACGAACTGTTACGTTCAGTGGCTAGTTGGTGTGGTTACGCACTAGTGTGGTACACACAATCGGAAACTCTTTCTGGTGGCCTTGGGTCTAACGCTTTCACGCTAAGTGGATCTTATCCCGCATCAGAGCTTAAAGGAGCAAACGTCCGATTAGATACTCACTGGTTGTGCTTGATCTACATCCGTTGCTACTGCATCTGTTTCAGTGTGCTTGTTTCGCAGCCGCCCGGAACGTCATTCACGACTTCAGTGAATTGCTCAAGAAACGTATTGAGCAAACCCAAGAAATTCTTGAAGGATCTTTTGATCACTCCATCCACGTAGACAAGAAACGTAGATTGTAGGGAGGAACTTTAATCGGAACCTTTTTTCGCTTCGTTTAACTTCGGTATAGGGTTCTGGTATCTTAAAAAGACTTGCGCTGAGAAGTCCAGCTTGTAATGGCTCAAAGAAGGAGTCGTGCAGCTGAGCGCCCGTCACCGAACCCTCGTCCTCGTCAACAGAGCCGTGTTAGTGCTCCGAGCGACGCTGAAGCTACCCAACCCACGATGCGAACAAATACAAGATCGCAAGCGTCAAGTGCAGGGGCCAGTGCCAATGCACAGGCTGAGTCAGCCTCCCCTGCTACTGATGC